TTGTATAAAGTTTTATTGAATTCCAACAATTAATTTTCAAGTCATGCACCGGACAATAAAAAGTAACAAAGGGCAAAAACTTTTAAATTAGTCAAAAAAGAGTTATGGTTTCTGTGCACTGCACTTCCTCTCAATATACTTGACCATTGTATGAAATAGTTTTGAAAGCCAACTAGTAGTTTTCTTGTTATGCTCTGGACAAGAAAAAAGCAATTGAAAAGTAACAAAGGGCAATGACACTATAATTATTCTGGACAGAGTTAAAATTCTAGTGCTTGACCATTCTATGAAGTTCTTTTTAATTCAAACCAGTAATTATCAAGTTATGCTCCAGACATGGAAAAGTTTCAAAGGACAGTAACTCTGTAATTATTCAAAATTGATTTATGATTCTTGTGCACTGCACTTCCTCTTATTGTGCTTGATCATTGTATGAAAGTGTTTTAAATTCCAACCAGTATTTTTTAAGTTTTGCTCCGGACAAGGAAAAGTATCAAAGGGCAATAACTCTGTCAAAATGGCGTTATAATTCTTGTGCACTGCATTTTCTCTTAATGTGCTTGACAACTGCATGAAGTTGTATTGAATTCCAACCAGTACTTTTCAAGTTATGCTCTGAACAAGGAAAAGTAACAAAGGGCAATAACTCTGTAATTAGTCAAAATGGAGTTATGGTTCTTGTGCACTGTACTTCCTCTCAATATGCTTGACTATTGTATGAAGTTATATTCCAACCAGTAGTCTTCAAGTTATGCTCCGGACAAAAAAGCAATGGAAAAGAAACAAAGGGCAATAACTCTGTAATTAGTCAAGATGGAGTTATGGTTCTTGTGCATGGCACTTCCCCTTATTGTGCTTGACCATTCTATGAAGTTGTTTTGAATTCTAACCAGTAGTTTTCAAGTTATGCTCAGGACAAGGAAAATGCAACGGACCGCTGGACCGACCACCGGGTGACTCCTATATACCCCTCCCCCAAACTTCGTTTTTGGGGGTATAAAAAATACGCATTTAAAATTTTGTTAATAATTGCCTAAATTACATCAATCCTTTGAGAAACATATGATCTGCATGGTAGTTTTTATTATCATCATAGAAAAGGTTATTTACAATATTTTGTACATTTTTTTCATAAAACTTTACTGATTTAATTTGTATTATAAATTGAAATACTTTTAATAAAGTTAATATGTACGCTCACCAATGTTTTAGTTAGTGACATAATGTTTGGCAAACTTCAGACTTCTTAAAAATGTTTTTAAAATAATATATAACGACTGAATGTGACATTTGGGTAGAAAAGATGTTGAATTTCACATGTTCATTTTAATTAACGTTAAAATTTTATATTATATTTTTTTCAAATAATTATTCTTTATAAACTCCAAACGGTGAAGAGGGTAGAAACAAATAACTTTTTTATAAGTCGAAGCTCAAACAAGTTTATGTAAATGCTATTATTTTGTTTGCCTAGAAGTTATTATTGAAGTGTTTAATCTGATGCCCAAATAAACGTCTTACAGAACTGAATTTGAGAACAGTAAGACACCATTTTCTTACAGCAGCAAAATAAGCTTATTGTAATAGAAATTCAAAGAAATAATAAAGAAAAGCTTAACGAGTGAATATGAGTACATACTCCCTCAGGCTAAGCTTACCGTTCAGAAATACTTTGCGGTACTGTCTTTATAAGCACCTTATATAATTTGTATATAGTTCTGTGTTAAGTTCTTTAACCAAAGACAAATGTGATTGAAATGAAAACTTGCATACTGAAGGCAATTTTAAATTTCGGAAACTGAACTTTCCTGCAACAATATAATTTACAAAAGTTAATGGGTTTCCATAATTCCATTCGTTATAAGCCTTAAAATCCGACTGTCCGGTACAAAAAACAGACTACAGGAATAAACTGAAGAACAAGTTATTGTGGTACGATGACATTTTTTTTTGGCTGAATATGATTTTACTTCTTTCAAATATGTGTATAATGTTTCATGCCTTGTACCTAACACATGCGTATTAAAGAAGCAGTAAATATTAGGCTTAATATTTATATTTTAACATTATATTCTTCTATATAATTGTATTTATGTTTGTATATAATTAATCGATAATAAAATCCCCATGTTTGCTATGCTTACAATATACTCTTATGACAAAACATGTATTAAGACACACTTTCATATATTTCTAAAAATGTGTGAGGCAAAAATCTAGATCATTGATTTATATGGTGTATAGTTGTTTGTAATAGAACAATACATATCAGCAGATATTCATATTCCGCATACCGTATTATTTGGATGTTATTTGAGCTATTACTTTTCAATGTATTTTTGCAAAATTTTGAATGCGGATTGCAAGTATTCTGCGTTTCAATTTCATATTAAATTCAGTATGCTTTGAGACAATGTCTGTGTATCAAAAAGGAAAAATAAACGAATGTATGTGCCAATTGAATTGAAAACATAACATATGACACATCTTGGGAAATATCTGAATTGTCTATAGTCATTTTTTAGTTTTAGATATTGATTTTAAGATAAAGATAAAGATAAATTACTTAAACCAAAATGTTTCACTTGAGTGTATGTTCTTTATTTCACTCAAATTTGGCAAAAACAATAGAAGAAAAACATATCAAGGGTGATATTCCAAAAATTAAGACAAAAGAAATTTAAATTACCACCTATTAATGGGCTTGTTCTAACGGAAATGTATAGTAATAACGCGCGTGCGTATTTGTAATATTAGAATATATCTAAACGGGAACTTAGACATATAGAGATATCAATGTCCTAATATAGTTAACCCTATCGGTTCTACTGTGAAGTTTGTCACTCCATGACGTCTTTAAGATCTCTTCAAAATGCTTTGTTCACAGCGGCATAAATCATTTGATTAGCTACATTGTAGTGAAAGTAAATATATAGAAAATGAACATAATTCTCATTTTCTCGAAACTGATTCTATGTATTTGAAGGAATGACAATGTTTGACCTTAATAAATAACAACAGTAGATAACCTTCTAATGTCATAGGCACAACCTGGGTGACCGAAGTCGAGGGCACATATCGCATATTTGTGATTATGCGCTTAATATATTTAGTTTATTTCATTGCAAGATGCAGGAATGTGCTTTTTTATAGTTTTGTTAAAGGATATTTCAATGGATTCATTTATAATTGGTTAAATTATACCAATCCTTAGAGGAAATAACAGCACCTGCAATACTCATCGCCTTTAAAATGCTATTTACAATTGTACAATGTTGTACAAGAATTGTTATGTCGGTCGTATTGAAATTTGTTGGTTTGATTAAAATGATATATTGAAACATGTAAATATGTAAATGTTACATTCATATCCGAGTAAATTAAAACTCAACACTTGAATTCAAGTCTGGAATCGAGTCTTCTTTCTTAAACAAACATAATTCAAGCTAGAACATGTAAAAAGATTGTGTTATTTTTATCAATCTATCAAAACGTTAAATTTTTATTTAATTTATATAACAGACAAAACATCAAACTTGATGAATTACGTAATAAGAATAAAATGTTAGGTACACGTTATAACTACTAAATATGTTTCAGAAGATTTTTAACTCAATAACATTAATCCGAAAAGGAAAAGCTTGATTTAAATTGATGTTTTAAATCCCGTATTATAACATTTTTCCTTACCAATCAAATATTTGATTAATGTTGTAGTTTTAGAGAAATCAATATATTACTCCTTGTCAAGAGAAGGTGATTTGTCACTTAATAAGAATTAGTTGATATAAAAGCGTTTTGCTATACATTTGAAAATGATAGTTATCGTGTTGATATAAGGTTTCTGTGATTTTCGGTATTTGATAAACTTTACAAAGTGGTTGTATATTATAATTACTATAATTATCTTAGGAAAGTTAACATGCGCTGTACATAGTGATCTTTTTTAAAAATTTACTTAAATAATTGAAATAAAAATTATTCAATGAATTTTATTTACATGAACGTTTCATATTAACAAATGTATGGTCTGTTTAGAAATGAAGTTGGTAGGGTTTGGTCATTCAGTTGTATACTAAAATGTTTTGATTGAAATAAAAAATTTGGTATTCATACATGACCGTGTATCCGTTTAATAATATAGATTAAAAAAGAAGAAAAAGCACTATTGTAATTGTTAAAATAAATTATGTTGACGGATAATGATTATTAACATAGAGGTAGATATTTGTGCATAATTTAAATGTATATATAATAACATACGATCGGTGAATTGCAAGTGAGTTAATAATTTTTCAAAGCGCAAAGATTATTTAGTAAAGTTACGTTTTCTTTAAATGTTTTATCTATGGTGGCATACAAAGTATGGTATTTACTACATATACACAAGAAATATATTGCATGTGTGAGTATGTATGCATGCGATAGTATTACGTGACCACGCGATAACATTTAACACGTCATATGTTGTACGTGCGCATGCTTACGTTAAACATTTTGCGCGGCCACTCACTAATTACTTAATACTAGCATACGTTATATACGTTTCACGTGTGGCAACGTTATTTTATTGCGTGAACTCGTAATACTTATTGCGGGTGCAATAGTCAATAAAATAATAATTATTTCATTGGTGTACGTAGCTACAATGCTTCAATAATCGATTATAGAAACAGTCATTTTTACATGACCAGTTTTGTGAAAATCCATGAGCTTATGGCAATAATCAGATATGTTTTCCAATTATACAGAGGCTTTTAAACCCCATGATAATTTAAAACTAAAGTCAGATTTTTTAAATAAAAGTAGGATAATTCTTTAAGACGTATAATCATTTTCAAACAAAGTTCATACACATTTAACTTATGTGCTAAATGTATGAAATATTCTGTTTATTCAGAAACAACAGAGCTTAAGTTCAAAGAATATTTGTATATATATTATATTTCAATAAAAATTCCAAAGACAATACAAATCATCAATAGCAGTAAAATATCAAAGGTAACATTTCCAATATATTTCAGACAAAAGGCAATTTCAGATGTAACTTATAAGTACTTGTTCTAACGGAAATATGCACAAATAGCACAAATGCATGTTCGCAATATCAAACTGTTTATACCCGGGAACCAACTGACACATGTACAAATATCAAACGCAGTATCCTAGTCAAGTTAATCACATTGATTTCATTGGGAAACCCGGCACTCTATGACGTCTTTAAGATCTCTGCGAAATGCTTTGTTCATAAAGGCATAAATTATTGGATTAGCTACATTGTAGAAAAAGTACATATAGAAGATGAGCATATTGTATGGCAGCACTTCATGTGCCATTAGCCACGCCGGTAGAAACACTATTATAAATACAGCTGTTACGACAAAAAGCATGGCAGCGGTCCGAATGTTGGCAACAAGACCTTTTTCTCTGATTGTCATTCTTCTCAGAAATGCAGTCTTCTCTGTTTTCGGGCGTGGTTCGTCGACAACACTGGTCATGTCAACTTCTGTCTTAATACTTCCATTATTTATGGACGCTCTCGTATTCACATATGTTGTAGGTGGATCTTTATACGAGGAATACATTGACCTTTGACTGCGCATGCGTCGTCTTTTAGCTCTCCTTACAGAGACGAATTTATAAATAAGAATATATAGAACAACTACAACAACTATCACTATCACAAAGAAGCTTGAATAAATCTTTTGGTAGACATCAGTGAACTGGAAACTAAATATTAGACCGTTTACTTGGCAAATTCCTTTATATTCTATTAGTTGTGTCTTCAAGTGTAACACATTTTTCATGGTATCTGTTTTGTATGATAGATTAAATCCATACGCTGGTTCTTCTTCTTTTGATAATACAGTAATGCCACTTTGGTTTGCTATGTTTATATAACTGTCATTAACTCCATCAGTAGCCGTAGAATTAGATTCCTTTACAAAGTAAACTCCGTAGTTTAAGGCCGTTATAATTCCGAGAGAAAATGCTATTCCTGCTAAAACAGAAATTATAACTTTAGCCATCTTTTTGTTAAGTATATGTGTGAATGGATGGCAGATACACAGGTACCTATCAACTGCTATAGCCATCATTATAAATGCTGAGAATGGCACGTTGGATGTGATTAAAAACATGTAAAACTTACAGAGTATATCATACTTCACATAGTATACCATATATTCCAAAACAATTGTATATGGAATTATTAATATGCAGGTTATAAAGTCAGTTCCAGCGAGCGTGATTATGAATACCGTTGATGCTAATTTATTTCGCTTCTTGACATACACATATAGGACAAGAGCATTTCCAACCGTTCCTATGACACTAAAGAAAGATAAAATGCCAATCACCGCGATAAGAATGTCATGATCCTGTGTCGACTGGAGGAGAAGTGTCTTTGGGGTATTTGTGACATTTAATGAATCTTCTGTAGCCATTTTCCTTTAATGTATTTACTTCTCAGTTAGAAAATACTATGGAATCTAATGTATTTTCAAATACTTAGATATTCAAGGAGTCAACGCGGTACAGTCATTTATTTTAATTGCTGAATAAAATCCTGGCTAGTTTTCATTATAATGATCTTCACAGAAGATAAATTTGAAACAGGCGGTCCCGGTTATTCCTATTCAAGAATTATGTTTCTCATTCCGATTGTTTTTATGTTATGGTTCCAGTGTGAATACAGGTCCTTCAAATAAACTGGTCCTGAAATGACAAAGAAAACCATTATAAATTAAAACATTTAAACATTCAAAACAGTTACAGAACGATGAGTTAAGCAACTTATTTTGAGTTTTTTAATATGATTTTCTGACTTAAAATTTTCTTGTTGTTGGTAAAAAGGAGATTTATGTTAAAAATAATACACTTTTAAGTATATAGTAACTGTTATAAATTAAAATAGAAAAAAATGCAACTTTGAAGGTAGTTATATGATAACAGTTGGATTGACTCATGGAAGAAACAAGCAGCAAAAATAAGAGCGACATTAACTGAAAGAAGTACACCTAACCACACCAACACATAATAATAGCCAACCAAACAGGACCATCGAAAGGGTAATCAGCCGAGCAGCGTAAAAAAGAGAGTCGGCGTTCACTTTGTTTCAAAATCTAGTTGAACCACTTTCTTTCATAATTATGTTAACAGGGAAAATCTTCATTGCATGTTGAACTTATATTTTACGGGAATGTTTACTCTTGCATAAAAACTACACGCAAATAAATGAACCTGAAAGTTAATATTTAACATGCATTTACGGATAAAATAGAGCACACGGTTGGTTCACATTTGTTAATGCAACTCAGAGTGTCATGCAAAGACGACCCGGTACATTCATTATTAAAACAGAAATGTCAAAAAACTTCGCATCAGGACATACAAAGCATGACAATACCGGTTTCTGTATAATTTATGTACAAAGTGGTGACATATAGAACCGATAAGTATGTGTATACGAGGATAGCGCTTGTTCGCCCTTGTACGTGCGTTAACATCTGCAAAAAATTATTGACCTTATTTAATTCCTTGCATCGTTGCATGTTTATATCTAAAAATAAGGAAAATAAATATGTTGAACTAAAAATGTCTTCGCTCTTTTTCACATGTTAATGCATGGATATGGTACATTTGCCTACTAATTTCTTTAATACACATTTTCTAATTTAAGTATATGTTTATTATTATTATTGTTTTTTTTCCTTTAAAATTACTAGTATAGACAATATAACAAATTTGCCGTTGTTTCGTTTTAAACAAACAGCATTAAATAATAATATTTTGTTCTTAGACGTACTTATTTTTTTCTTACAATAGCATACGCGTTTTTGCAACAATGTTAAACTTGTGCTGATTTATTAAATTTAATTTTGTCATTTAAAACATCAATCATATTCAAGAGAATGCATAACATTATCTTAATTTACATTATGTACATTGTATATATATTTTTTTTATACTTTTTCTTATTTCTTTATTTCGTTATTTAATTATTTATTTATTATGCTTAATTCTTTAGCATGATACATATACTGATTTACATAAACCGTAAGAGTGAAAACATACAGTAAATTTAAGTCCTTTACTAAACGCATAATGTGTATATTAATCCGTTTTTTTTTTGTTGTAGCACATATCCAAACACAATCTTCTGTAAAAGCGCCACCTCCATAAACTGAAATATTATTTGTTTCGCTAGTGCAATGAGACAATTAGTTTCCTTCGTATTGGGAAAAGTAGCCAAGATAAACTCGACAGTTACAAACAAGAGGAACATTGGATAAAATTGACCCATGCAAAATGCGAAATATGCTTTGTTTCACATATTATTCGTATTACAGAATAAACATGAATCGAAAAAGTATATGACATGTGTTACGAAAATGTCATCATGAACTCTGTAAGCGTTAATATATAATATGCTATCTCCCCTACGAATTAATATTTTTTATACCAAACCATACTGGTAGAATTATAGGGGCAGGCAGTAAATGACATATAGCGGCTTTATAATGATTGCAAATTTACAATGTCGAAACTGTTAAAGTTGCTTTTCAAGTTAATCTTTGAAATGCTTTGATGTTGTGAAAGGAAAAAGATTCATGCGTTATAAATGTTTTTCGGGATTTTTCATAATTAACCAAATCAGCAGGAACATGACAACCAGACTTAACGCTTTTGTTGTGTAACTGTTGCCGTTGCGACATCTCAGATATTTTTTTTATTTATTTTTATATTTGGTGATGTATCAAGGCATACTCTATTAATGCTCTGGGAAAAGTTTCATGATTTTGAATAACCTGCAACTGTCGTATTGAAGATATTCATTTATGTTCACTAGTATGTGCTTCTTTTAATTAATAGAAATATGCTAAAGGTGTAAGATAATATATAGATTGGATTATCTTCCTTCTAAATTTTCCTGTGTCAAAAATATCATACATTTAATAAGAGTAAAACTTTAATGTGCATCATTATGCTATTATTGCCATGTATAGAAACAAGACAAGTAGAACTAACTGTATCAAAAATGTATGCATATTGTGATATATATTTCCTTGTAAGTAAACAACGTATTCAATATAGACGCGGATACACGGAAGCTATATTATAGTATTTTTTTTCCATATTATAGTAAATGCTTCTTTCTTGACAAGATTTATAAACATATAAATGCGTTCAGTTTATTTTTGAATATGAACAATTACCACTGACCTCACAGCACGTGGTTTAACACCATTCTAATACATTTTATCTGAAAACAAGCATTATTTATGTGGCTATTGTTCTGTACGTAATGCAAACAATATCATAACGTCTAGATATCTAAAAAAAATAATTCTTATACTATAAATCATTCCGTAACAGGTGGCGTCTTGTCTGATATTAAAAGCTTTATAAATCCGTCATCTGATATATTGGTAAAGTTTAACACAAATATCTAAAATGACACTTAAGCAAATATTAATGATACTGCGAAACGTCATAAAACAGAATGTATGGTTATGCATTAGTGAATGTATTCAATTAAGCAATATATTGCTATAAAAATCAGTTATCTCATGCAATTTTATTTATGTAAACTTCATCATTAGCAGAACAAAACAAAACAAGAACATATCTTTATTAAAGCAGCACGCCTCCAGATTCATGTTAATTTTCATGAAAATTTTGAAATTGAATTTAAAAGTAAAATATTGTGAGGTGAAAAAAAAGTAATTTACATTTGCAATCGGCACTTACAATCCAAGAAAAATACCAAAATGTCGTCATCATTTGCAAAAAAGTCCTTACTGCGTTATTAACGCAGTAGAAATATGGAAATGAAATACTGCAAAATCATTCTTAACCGTACATAAAATGAAAATTATAACTTGGATCTTGAATGTTTTACTTTTCTTAAAGTTTTAGTACATTTTTTTTCAATTATGATTTTCTTGAAATATTTTGGCTCATCTGGACGCGTGCAGCTTTAACTCAAATTATTTAAGCACCACATGCGTTTACGTAAGAACAGTGGACATAAAAAACCGTTCTATGACAAGTCTAATGAAAATAGTATTCAAAATGAGCACACAACGATACGTTCAATAATAAATTAAATAGAAAAATAGTTTGATTCCCAACAAACGCCAAACACATACTGTGCAAATCCTTAATCATCTGACTTTTTGCTTAATTAGTATATTTGTTTGAATAAGTAATTAACGATCATATGAATTACGATAAATGTTGACGGATGATTCAGTTTCGATTCCTGTTAAATGATTGTTTTTCTTTTAAATCATTTAATAACTTTTAACAATTTAACTTGTATTTTTTATAAATATTATACCAATTACCAATCATAGTAAACTGAACCAACACATATATTTTGACGTAAAATAAAATAGAAAATAATATACGTACTGATGCCGTTTCAAATCCTTTAAAGCAAAACAAAAATTAATTTATATTCTGAAACGCTTTATAGATTTATATTGGTGCGATTGCAGGTAATATAGCAAACAAATAAACCCTCTTATATTCCATTGTCTTTTAACACTATTCAGTTTGCGCACTTGCCAACAACACTCTGCCAATACTGTGTATTGGTTTTGCTGAAAGTATTGGTAATATATGGCATGTTCTCCATTATAAGTCAGCTTTGTGAGTTATAACAGCACATTTGTGAAGTCATCAATATTAATCCACTTTCGTGTTGTTTGTCTTAAAATACTTTTAAATATTAAAAAAATTAGTGTCTATAAAGTAAAACAAATATCTAACTTTATAGATGGAAACGTCAAATATATGATGTACTTTTTTATTCATTATTTTTATGTTGAATATTTGTCCAGAAATATAATGTTATAACTACTATGATAGTTACATAGTTTTAAAATTAAAAGTTTGATAAAGTAGTGATAATCACGAACAGTTATAAATCAATGACACATTTTAAATGTTAAACGCTCGAGTGTATTTTTTTCAAATAACCGACGAAACAAAACGCAAAATCCACAATATTTACTTTTCATCCCCACGTTACGCATTCGTCACTAATTATCAAAATTCAATAATAATAACTTTTCTATCGAATAGATGTTATAACACCGGACTTAATTTATAATGTTACAAAATCACTTAAATAAATATAATCTGATTTTGTTTTCTTTTAAATATATTACGCTCCGTTTACATAACAAAGCAAATCTTTCTTGCAATAATCCTGTTTTTAGCGTGTCTTTCTATATCAATTTAAACTTATAGCTATTTTTTTATCATAATTCCTTTAAATTTATTTCTGTTTAAATATATTATTTGACAAAAATACTTTATATAATTTAATGTCCCTAGAGCACACAATTTGAAACTTTAACTATAATCAATACTAAAATTTTCTATTTTAAACTTAACTTTAAAATTAGATAATTATAGTTATAATAAAAACCTTTCCTACATTGTTATATCCTTTTTTCGGTTTGTAATGTCCAGTTATTAAACGCGTTA